CAAGAGAGCAGTTAATTAAACCGTTTACAAATAAATTTAACGCTTAACTCTTTTGTTATATTTTTTATGTCAAATGCGTGTTAAATTAATATTTTTAATTAATAAGACTTTTTAAAATCAGTTTAAAAATCGTTAAAATAGTGTTTATTAAATGTATTTCTTTCAAATTATATAAATTAACTAAGTATATATTCAAATATTTTCAGAAACTAAAACAGAATTATCCATTATCTTCAGGGGCGGATTAAGACTTCTTGGAGCCCAGGGCTATAGTTCCCCCTAGCCCCCCTTGATTCGGCGCTGATTATTTTTGTATGTAATAAAAAAACTGAGTTTTTTGTTTCTTAATCACTGTGCCGTACTTAAATATTTAGGCCGTTTTTTTCAAAAAAAGGCTGTTTTTAGTAGAAAATAAATATTTATTTAAATTTAAAAATATTTATATAAATTTCAAGTATAAAAATTGTGCAATGTATATTATACTTGAAATTTGCGTGAAATAAAGAGAGTTTAGTAAGAAATAGGGGGTATGCCAACGGTACGGGCCTAAATTTAGTTAAACATTGAAAGGTCGATAAACGTGTTAATTATCCCATAGTGGTACATATATCATATACATGCACACATAATAAAATGATTACGTTTTAAGGTGGTACCAGGGTAAAAATTAGGTATTTAAATATATTTTTTATTGTTTTAAGTTTTAAGTGAAATGCGGGTTCTGTCACCATAGCAACTTCCTTAGCAACGCTTTACCAAAAAGGCATTTGACCTCAAATTTTATCTTAAAAAATTTGAGTTTTTGATAAAGTAATAGTAGCCAAAATTGAAACAATCATTTATCACGATCCGTTTGGAGTTAGACCTTGAAATTTTGGAACTTATCATATTTTATAATGAAACATTTAGTAATAGATTAGGGAAAAAAACATCTTAAAATAAGAAACTTTCTAGTACCAACCCATTTGCTTGGCTTGTGTATCATCGGTATCAACCAATGGTATTGAAGTTTCTCGATATATATTCGTTCGTGAATTGAATGATTAGCAATATTTCATCGATTTAATACGCAATTGAATTATATACTTTTAATCTGAATCTATTTTTTTTTTAAGCAGTTCGCAATAGACTTCGTATCTACTAATTGCGCTCTATCGTGGTAAAAAAAATGTCACTTTTAAAAGACTTTTGACTTTTATATAAGAGTAAAACTTTTTCGGTCAAGCAGAAATGACTTCATTCTCAAACTTTAGTCAGACAACTTTGTTTGTTGTACAAGACTCAAATACTTTCTTTAAATTTGCTTGAGGAGCAGCTTAACTTCATAAATAGTTTAAATTTAGTCACCGCTTTAATAGAATAATTAAACCATTTTGGATGACGTTTTCTCAAACTAAAGGACTTATTATTTGTATTTGTATATGTACAATTAAAGAAATGTATGTCTTCAAATAATTCAAAATTGTCATTTGCTGACTAATTGACTGATAATAAGAGTCAATTAATCGCTTTTAGGCAAGGTCTCCGAGGAGGGAAGTAGGAGGGCAAAAGGCACAGTTTGTCCCGTGCTGCAAATACCCAAGGGGTGAAAAGAAAAAAATGAAAAGAAGGTACCTATAAAAAAAAAAGATGTCTTTCGCCGAAATTGTAGGAAAATTTCAATAAATAAAGACGTGAATCAGGGTTGCTGTCTCAGGCGGCATGATGGCTCTCGACGGCCTTGTAGAAGAGTGCATAAAATCTAATATATAAACATTTTTGAATATTTCATAGATCGTTGTTGGTTATCATTGGTATAAAATAATAATGAAAACATTGGTTAAAAAAATATCAGTCGGGCCTGTGTAAATGTTCAAATAATACGTGACACTTTTATAACATGATAAACTTGAAAATTAGGTTAAGTTGAATAGAAATTTTAACGTGAAAGCAATGTATGCGACTTCTGTCCCCTGAAATTTTACGTTTGCGTCAAACTAAGATTTAGATTTTTTTATATTATACGAGTTTTCAAGAACATCCTTATCACGAAGCCCTTAACAAAACTCTATTTTCTTCGACAATAAAAAATATATATATATATATATTCTATATATAATAAATATATACCGAAAATATATAATCACAAAATATATCAAAAATTTAATTCAATGTAAAATTATATGACAAAATAAATTAATTGGCTGGAGCAAGAAGTAGGCACAAACCAGCCTTATCACCAAGCCCCATTAAAAACGTCCCAAAAAATCCGAAACATCACAAAAAAACAAAAATAATAAACAATTGCAAGAAGTTAAGAATCAAGAAAGTAATAAAACAACTATAACAGCTAAAAATAAGTTAATAAGTTAAAAAAAAATAATATAATAAAATAATGAAAACGACAAAGTTCCCGTTTTGGGTTGTGTATCGTAATTTAATATTAAAGTAAACAAAATTTTTTTTTCATGTCATCATAAATATATACGCGCACGCGTAAATATTTATGTACCGATACGCGTTACCCATGCACGTTATTAATGATTCTTATGATTCCAATAACATTGAATGATAGTAAATATTTATATTAACTATTACTATAATGAAGGCTTAAATAAAATTTAAATAAACATATTTTGATAAAAAAAAAAAAAAAAAAAAATACTTGAAGAAATACATATTTATATCTTCTAGTTATTTTTTAACTTGAACAACTAATTGTCAACAAGATTCTAAGTTAACCCATATTTCCAAGACGTTACATTTTTTTCACCGCGATGAAAAAAAAAGTTAATATTTATATTAATATTTATTATAGAAAATGTTCTATAAATAGAAAGTCTTTTTTAGATTCTTTAGAACTTGTTAGCGCCACACCAGAAATTCCTTCATTGTCAAAAACCTGTTGAAAAAGTATAAATTAAGTTTAAAATTAAGTTTAAGGTTTTAAAGACTAGTTTCGTTAGATAATAAGTCATAGTAAATAATAATTTATTGTAAATTTGAGGTAAAATGACGACGATATGGGAAAATATAAACTTGATTAATAGTGAATGTGGTGAAATCCTAAAAAGTAAGTTTCTTTTTTTTAACCTAATTTGTAATTTCTAGTATTTTGTTTTTTTTAGATTCCATAATTGCTTTGTGTTTCATATCAATTAAAACCAATATTTATTGTTGTATAAATAATGATTTTTTTGATTTTGTTTTTTAAATTTATTTTGCAGTTTAAAAGTGTTTACATTGCATAAAAACTTATATAAATAATTGGCTGGAACAAGAAGAAGGCACATTCAGCCTTATCACCCAGCCCTATTTAAAACAAATTTACTTAATCGTAACGTAAAAATATATATGTAAAATAAGCAAATATTATTAAAATTGAAAATAACTAATATAATAAGAAATAACAAATTAATTTAGAAGTGTTGAAAACAATTGCTAAAATGTTTAAGAAGTATATTATTAAATAAAAAAATTATTTAAAAAAATTAAAAAATAAAACTTTTTGAGTTAAAATAACACTGAGAAATGAAATTTCATAATTAACATAATCACTAGGTAAATGAGTAACATCATTAATGATATATATAAATATATATATTTATAATTCTTTTTTCTTATTAATTAATCATTGATATAATTAAATCTGTTTGTTATATGATTGTGCATAATTTAGAATAAACATTTAAAGTTGGATATATTGAGGTCCATGAATAATAATAATCGATTTGATTCATCCTTAAATTGATCTAATGTTGTCTGCTTATTGTTAACAATATCTAGAAACCCTTTCCACAGATTAGGTCCCTTGTATTTAATTGAAAAGGAAGTTAATTTTAATTTATATTTTGGAACAACAAAGTTGTTATCTGAAAACTTCGTTGAGTCCTTTTGGTTAATTTTCTGAAAATAAGATTAAAATATTTTGGAGACAATCCCTTTTTGTTTTATACATAAAAAATAAAACTTGGTGTAAATTAAGTTTATACACATTTAAAGCACCGAGAACACGTAAAAGTGATTCACAAGGAACACTTCTGCATTAAATACTATTCTGCACGCATGTTTTTGTTTGTTATATAGTTTCTTTAGCTTTGTATGGCTAGTACTACCCCACACAATGTTACAATAAGACAAATAACTGTGAATAAAGGCGAAATATAATTGCTTCAGATATATTCAGAAAAGGTTTAGCTCTAAACATCATTGCGACATTTTTAAATATTTTTTAATACTATTTATATGTGAATACCACTGTAAATTTTCATCCAATTTTACTCCCAAAATTTTTATGTATGATTCTTTTTTAATATATGTGTTATTAATTTCAAGATTATTTTAAAAGGAATATCTTCTGATTTACTTATTTTATGGAAAAGTATATATTTTGTTTTATCCGCATTGAGTGAAAGTTTATTACTTTCGAACCACTCACTAAATTTACATAACTGCTCGTTAAGTGATTTAATATCTTTGTGAGAAGAAAAAAAAAGAATTAGAATCATCAGCAAACAAAATTAGGTCTAAAAGATTTGTTGATAAGTATAAGTTGTTTATGTACAATAAAAATAAAAGTAGTCACAAGATAAAGCCCAAAGGAACCCCGTTCCTTTGGTTATGTAACCCCGTTAGGTATAGAATTGTATTAGTTTGATTATAGTGCAAAAATTGCTTTCTTTGAAACAATGTAAGTTTTTATTTTTCACTCTGTATTTTTCGAATTTTTTTATTAGTATATAATGATTCACGGTATCAAAAGCTTTAGACAGAGGGAGGTGTTCAAATAATAATAGTGTTGTTATCGACTTCGAATTAATTGACTAAAAGTCAAAGGTCAAAATTAGTCAACTTTGTCTAATAGTCGATTGAATCAACTTTAGATTATGAACTAATCGATTAAAAGGCGATTTAGTTGGGTAAAACATTACGCAAGGATACTTTAGTACTAATACATTTATTTATCTTTAATTCGACCTTATTAATCTTTGATGTAAAAAAAAAAAAGTTTAATAAATAACCAAATAATAACTCTATCAAAAAATCTAAATGTTCACAACATAAACGTTAAAACAATTTTTTATTCAATGGCAGACGAAAATACAAAAAATACGAGTCATGCACTCGTATATATTGCCAAACCTCATAGATATCCGTAACAATTAGAGAAGTAGACATCCTTTTTGAGACAACAAGGCAAAAACAAACAGTTACAAAAATAGTTATATTTTAGGGGTTTCAGCACCCCTAACACATTTATTGATGAGTAACTATGAAATTTAAAAATTTCTTTTTATTTTATTTTATTTAAATATTCAAAAACTAATTTTTCAGAGTACTGTTCATTTGAACATCTGTCTCTTTACAATATAGCTGTACGATAAAGTAATAGCATTTTTTCAATAAAATATATTTAAACATGATATTTACATATAGTATACATTAAATATTTTTAATTTGTACTTCCATTAAATTAATATTGACCACAAATAACTAAAAAACTATTATATTTTTAAGATTACGATCTGTACACGGACAAAAATTTAAAAATGCTTGAAAAAAGTGTGATAAAGGATATGTTTCCTGAGAAAACAGGCAAATCATTTTTGCAAAGATCAATTGTTATAAGTGCAATTCGTGACTTTAAAGTAAGTAATTTTAAATTTTTCTTATTTGTATATTAAATACTGAAATAATTTAATACACACCAAGACCAAGAACTATGTAAAGAAACAACAAGATATAAGTACAGTTAATATTTAAAAAATGAAAAACATCAATTTATATTTCAATATATACGGTTTTAGACAAACCTGGTAGTAAAAACTCAAGTAGAATGACGTAATTTTAAATTTAGAATAAAGATGTACAAAGAGCTTATTCAATACCCATTGGATTGAACTTGGAAGTACATCAAACCAAGAAAACAAAGGTCAGTTTGATATTTAAGTATAGCAAACACAATGTTATATGTGACTTTGATCAGTCTATTTAGGTAATGGTAAAACTACGCGGTAGTGGAGTAGTGGTAGAGCGCTCGCTTCATAAACGAGTGGTTCCGAGTTCGATCCCCACCACGTCCCTGGTAGTACCGCGCTCAACTCTTTTCTCCGCGCAGTGACCTTGTTCGTCAAGGTTTGTGTTTCGGAGTTATAGAGTTGAGAGAGGGTTATAACCACAAATAAGTAGCCTCCTCGTCTGTAGTGGCCTTCTCGGCCTTGAGGAGGTGAATTAAATAAAAAAAATAAAATAAAAAAAAACTATTTGAGAAAAAAAAAAAAGTAAATAAAAAAAAATAAATATTTTTATTAAGGAACTTTAAAGGCATATTGCTTGTTTATTATTATGGTCTTTCTAAGTCTTTTTAATTCACAAACTATAAAATTTTTCCTATAAAATATATTTTAATCAAAATACTTCCCTTATTCTATGGCATCTTAGCAATTCCCAAGATTCCAGGTAAAAATTTTTTTTGTCATGATCAATTGTAATAAATAAATAAAATATAATTAAAATTTATGATGCAATGTTAAATGATGCATTTAACATTACTGTAAAATACTGTTGCTTCCATACTTTACTCCTCTTATATAAATTCAATTTTAAAATATAATTCAATACAACTTTTAAATTGAAAACTGATAAGAATGTTCTTAATATATACAAATATAATGTATATTAGATATTATCAATATATATTTTTTTAATATATATATATATATTATTTAAAATTGAATTTCATAAATATAAGCCAAATAAAAAGTATAAATCAAGAGGATCTTAGTCATAAGAGTATATAAGAGTATATTTTTATAGATACTCTTAAAACTAAGAGTATCTATAATTGAGTTGAGTCCATAATACGAAAAACCAAAACACATTTTTACAATGAATAATACCAAAAAAAATAAGAAGATATTTTCGCGAATTTTAGGCTCAAAACTAAGGACTAGTGATCTGAGATTTGACTTTATCGTTATGACTTATATAAAGTTACGACTTATATATATTTGACTCTACATATAGTTAATAGTTCTGAGATTTAACTTTATACATATTTAGGAAAGATTTCATCAAGTTATTAAAAACTTTCAAGATGTTCGCTTAAAAATCAAAAAAATAAAGTTTACCTATAAGCAACTGTTATTCGACTGTTGTTGTTAGTGCCAAATTGAAATGACAAAAATGGTGATAAAACTTTAAAAATAATCTAAAATATATATCATCAAGATTAATTATTATATTAACAAAATTTAATTAATTATTAACAAAAATATTGATAAAAAATACTATTATTCACTTTACAAATTCTGATCTTTTGTGTCAATAAAAGCAAAAATTAACACTAATTAGCTATATTTAACTACATTACATCTTTTTAGTGATATTTTCCGAAAAATTAAAATTTTTAAATCTACAAAAAAAAAGAGACTAGTTGACAAGACCTTATTCATATTCTTCTGGCCAGTGACAGACAAATTTATAAAATTAAAAAAAATTAAGCGAAATATATATCTATAAATATAAAATTATATTTTAACAAAAGACTTAAATTGCAGTTATTTCAAATTACATAGAACTCAGCGGTACGACAGGTTTAGAATAAATATTTAAAAAAAAAAACTAAATTAATAGATATATAGTTAGAAAAATTATTTAAAATTAATTCTCCTAATATCATCATTGTAACTTTTAAATTTGGTTTGTCTTAAGGAAAATTTTGATTCAAGAGATTCTGAACCGACAGAAAAAGAATCTTCATCTTGCAAGCAATCAACTGGAGAAGTATTTATTCTATTTAGAATATATATATATATATATATATATATATATATATATATATATATATATATATATATATATATATATATATATATTATATATATCACATATATATATATACTTATATATATATATATATATATATATATATATATATATATATATATATATATATATATATATATATATATATGTATATATATAAGTATATATATATGTGAATATATATATATACTTATATATATATATATATATATATATATATATATATATATATATATATATATGAATATATATTTATATATATATATATATATATATAAATTTATATATATATATATATATATATATATATATATATATATATATATATATAAATCTAATAGTTGACATTTATAAACTTAATATAATTTTTTTTTTTTTTTTAATTTATTTAGGTGCTCTAAGAAGTCCTAACGGACTTATAACAGAGCACCGCCACAATTAATATGGAAAATAGCATTTAATAAGTTGGTTCTCTATAACCAACCTTACCAATAAGGTTTATGTGCCTTGAGAGGAATCGAACCCGCAACCCTTGGATTGCAGGCCCGATGCTCTAACCACTGCGCTACAGCTGCTGTAAATTCTAAAACATAAAAGTAACAACTAACACTTCATCACAGTAAATTTAATATTTATTTCTATTTTAAAAAGTTTAACACCTATGTTACCATACATCTGTGGTTTGGACAGGTTACTATAACACCATTTTCTAAAATACGGTTGCCTACAGTTATGATTGAGTTGAGGCACTTTTATATAACTGGATGTGAGGTTATATATTTTATTTATATCCATCAGAGTTGTTAACAAGGCCAAAAGGCCAAGTATAGCAAGGCCTAGACCAAGATCACATCTTCCAAGACCAAGGTCCAAGTCAAGAGTTTCAAAGCTAAGGGCAAGAACCATGTCATAAAGGGGGAGGGGGGATTTTCAGATTTGATTGATTTAGTGGACCCAGACCATATAGTACGGAGGGATGATTCAAGACTTATTGGTTCGAACGCAGACAACCCTACAATTTACAGTTTGCATTACACAATTTTATTAAAATTTGATGCCAATTTTGAATAGCATTCCTAATTTACTCACATTTTCAAACAAAGTGCTGTGTTAAATGTACAGATTTACTAAAACATCTAAAGGGGCATTGCTCTTATACCCTCCTTCCTATGGATCCAGACATGAAAAAAAATATATAAAGAATCAAATGATATTAGTTGTTAGCATAAAATACAAGTCATAAATGTTAATATTTATAAAAACATTTATAAATAAATATATATAAAAAAAATCTTTTTAAAAACAACATTTTAAAAACGGACTAAAGTAAAAAATAAACGGGACCCAAGCTCTTTGTGTACGTACACAACCTTAAATATCCAATAAAGTCAATGATTAAAAATGTTGTGCAACTAAGTACAATTCGTTCTTATTGTGCCAAACATTTTCAGTCATCGAAGTTAATGGATATTTGATTTTTTTTTTAATTTTTAATATTTCAGTCTTCTTTATATTTCTACACTGATATTTTTTTTATTTGTTTAACATGGGGTCTTGTTTGTTCTAATTACTTTTTTTAACAATTTTATTTATTTTTACAGCTGACTCCGAGTTTGTTTAACCCCGTGTAAATGTTATAAAAATACATAAACTACTATAGTTTTTACTATCACAATAATTATTATAGGCTAAAGGTGCTGACAATAATAGCCTGTAGCTGTAAATCATAATAATCCATGAATCTTTATAACAATTAAGAAAAAAATGTAGTGTTTAGCAACAAATAAGCTGATTGCCAAGTAACAAATAAGACATTCAGGCTCTTCGAGGGCACATTATCAATCAACTCGGAGTAAAGATTTTATGTAATATTGTAGGTTATATAACAGTACTAATAAATACAAGTTTTCTGTATGTGTAATAATAAAGTACTAGCAATAAAAAGTTTATTGCAGACATTTACTTTTGAGCAGAGACATGGTGGCTCTAAAAATCACATTTGGGATTTTATAAAAAAGGCCTATATATGCAGGATTTTACCATATATGCAGTGAGTAAAGACACATACTTATTTTAAGGGAAAATGTCCCGCGCGCAAAACTGAAACCTATTATTAATGAGCATGACATGTGCTCGTCATTAAGAGTTGCCACTATAAAGTTTTTATTTGTTATGCTGTGTTTTTTTGCCGATAAATTTTATGCATTATTATTTAGAAGCATAATACTAGACTTTTAAAGAAAAAGTTCTATTGACTTCTGATTTAATGTTTGTGTCTGGTTGCATTTTTTATTTATCTAGTTTTTAATGATTTTTTTTTAAAGAAAAAAACTTTACTTTTGATATGCAAACTAAATGGTGTTTCAACATTACTTTAATTAGTAACGGTAGAATATTTTTTCAACTTCAATCTGATATTAATACGCTGATTTAAAAGTAGAAGTTAATAGTCGACTTACGTCATTTTCTAGGCGTCATTTTCTAGTTTACGTCATTTTCTAGGCATCATTTTCTAGTTGACTTACGTCATTTTCTATTTTAAAGTAGTTTCTAGGCTTTTCTATACAATATTTGCAAATACAATTGTTATCCAGTTATTTTTAAAGGAATGTTTATAAAACGTTGACAAAATATCAAAATTAATAAAAAAAATATTTATGTTTTGTTTAGAACCAAATAAGTCTTAGGCAAAAACTCAAGTAGAATGACGTAATTTTAAATTTAGAATAAAGATGTACAAAGTGCTTCTAATTCAAGACCAATTGGATTGAACTTGGAAGTTCATCATACCAAAAGAAGGAAGGTCAGTTCAATATTTTACTTTAGTATTTGAGTATAGCAAACACATTATTTCATGTGACTTTGATCAATCTATTTAGATAATGGTTTTAAGCAAAACAAAAATTTTTACTTATAAGCAACTGTTATTTGACTGTTGTTGTTGGTTTCAAATTTTAATGACAGCAATGGTGATAAATCAACAATTTAAAAAAAAAACTTCATCAAGATTAAATATTATCATATTATTAACCCTTAATATCAGCGCTTACTTTTTACCCTTTAACACCGCCCTTGGCTGCTGCAGCCTATAGAGTAAATATAAGGTTTTCATAGATTAATTTGATTAAAGTTTGTTGAAAATTCATTAATAGAATAACTCTTAGAATTGGTTATATACTGTACGCAACCACTAGGTGTATATCAATTATCATGTTTCAACTGTATGATACATCACTGTAACGGTGATGTATCATAAAGTTGATGTATGATAATTGAAATAGATAAATGTGCATTCTACACACATTTATCTATTTCAATTATCATACATCAACTATAGTATAGACGTATACATCAACTGTATGATAATCTGAGGTAATTTTTCCTTTTGGTATAAATAGTTACTTTGTTGAAATTAATTTCACCCCACATATTGGTGGGGGAGGAGGAAGTCCAAAAAGTCCAAAAAATGTGCCATGCATTATTTGAATAGCCCCTAACGTTATAACTTTCTACCATCTTTTGAAATAATGGTAGAAATTTTCAAACAAGTATTATACTTGGTCACAATGGAAGTATTATACTTGAGATGGGGGACAGGCTGTTACCCAGCAGTATAGTGATCAGCGCTATATGCCATTATAAACATATTATAAAGTTAGGAAAAGTCAGGGAAGCTCAGGCTTAAAAGTGTTAGTTAAACCTCATAAATTTATAAAAAAAAAAAATTTTGAAATGGCTGCATCAGCCTGAGGGCGGAGTTTAAGGGTTAACAAAAATATCAATAAAAAATAGAATTATTCACTTTACTAATTCTAATCGTTTGTGTCAACAAAAGCAAAAGTTAACATTAATTAGTTATAAATAACTAAATTACATCTTCTTGATGATATTTTCAGTAAAAATATTTTTTTTAAGTTAAAAAAATATTTTTATCAAAAAAAAAAAAAAGGGGGACTTGTTGACTTAATTATTTTTCTTCTTGCCAGTCACGTACAAACTTATAAAATAAAAATAATTTTTTAATGGAAACATTTATATCTATAAATACAAATTTATATTGTAACAATAGATTTAAATTGCAGTCATTTTATTAATTCTATATTTTTTATATTCAAATTACATGGAACATGGTACGGTAGGTTTAAAATAAATATTTAAAAAAACAAAAATAAAATAAATTCTTATTATATCATCAGAACTTTTAAATTTGGTTTGTCTTAAGGAGAATTTTGATTCGAAAGATTCTGAACTGATAGAAAAAGAATCTACATCTTGCAAGCAATTAACTGGAGAAGTATGTATATTTAGAATATATATATATATCGCTCGAAATTAGGGTCGGCATTCGGCAATGCCGACCTAACTGCAAACCTAAAAGTGTTTGAGGTCGACAAATATTGCCGACCTCGTTTCTATGTTTTATGGTAAGACCTTTGCATCAATTTTTTTTTGCCAACCTCTTGAGATAGGCAAATTATTGCCGACCTCATTTTTTCTAATTCCGAGGGTTGATATATATATATATATATATATATATATATATATATATATATATATATATATATATATATATATATATATATATATATATATATATACACACACACACACACATGTATATATATATATATATATATATATATATATATATATATATATATATATATATATATATATATATATATATATAATATATATTACAAAAATTCTATTATTTGACATTTTTAAATTTCAAATAAAACATCACTTCATCGCAGTAAATTATTTTAAATTAATTCATCATTATCATTTTAACACCTTTGTTTCAGAGCTTGCACAGTAGGTGTCCCAAAAATAAAAATAAATAAAAAAGTTATACACATCAAATTCTTTGTCTATATACATATAGAAGACTGCTAGTATTGAAAAAAGATTTATAAGACCTAAGTGCTTACTGTACAAATTAATAATCGGGTGTTATTAAGTGTTCTGAGTTTTTCTTAACTTAAATATTTCGGCTGCATCTAAATAAAAACTTACTCCTTTAAAAATTCTAGCTGCTGTTTTTCATATTTTAAAAAACATCTGTAATCTTTTTTTTTATAAAAAACTATATTAGGATATGGGTTTTCACATTGAAATGTACAATTTATTAAACTAAATAAATTGTACATTTCAATGTGAAATACAAGTTATTTAGCCTGGAACACATTTACCCAAAAAAAACATGGAAATCAGTTAGAAGTATTCCTTGAAAACTTGTTTGATGTTTCTCAAAAAAACATAGAAGCAAAAATTAGATAAAGATATACCGAGATCGAATGCTGCAGTGATAGACGATTTGGCTTTTCTCCAAGATCAAAGAACATTGAGGAGAGGTGTGATCAGTGAAAAGTATGACAATGATATAAAACAAAGAGTTAAAAAGTATGACAAAATGAGATCTTATGAAGAAAAATGCAGAGTTAACGAAGGTTTTAAAATTGAATGCAAAATTGATTTAGAAATGGATGAAGTGATCTCTCATGAATCAGGTGAAACCGAGGCATCAGCGAAACTATAACTTAATCTTTTATTCCAAAATATTTTTATGAAAAAAAAGAAAACTTTAATTCACTATATTAAGTCATTAACGCTTTTTGTTACTTAGTTTCTGCAACTCACCAGTCTTTAGTTTCTAGTGATAGTGATTTCAATTTTTTAGAAAGCAATAAAAATCAGCGTCCAACACACACAAAGTTAAAGCTTCAAAAGCATATATAAGTCTGGCTGTTCAGAAATAGCAATAAAGTTCGACAGAGATGAGCTTTTATTAGCTAAAACACCTGTTAGTGTTAAATGCAAAATGAGCATTCGCTCACAAACAATGTTTCTAGGAGCTGTTATTAAAGCTTTAAGAGGAAATGTTCATGATTTAAATATATCTAGAAGCTCAATTAGCTAGAAGTAGATTCAAGTATATTGAAGATTAAGGTAATTTTTTTTTACACTCAATTTATTTATAATAAAATAAAAAATAATGATTATAAAGAGAAAAAAAAGAATCTAGAAATCTAGAAGCCACCATCAGATCAAGCCATTATGAAGAAATGTTGGGAAAGAACTTGATCTTGCACTTTGACAGTAAGTTGGTAAAAGAAATAAAGGAAAATTTAAAAATTACAGTTAAAAAGGAAAGGGTTGCGATATCTGTTACTAGTCCTGAATTTATTACAAAAGATGTTTGTCTACTTGGAATTATAGCTGTAAAAATCAATAAAGGAAAAGATCACCCTATTGTTATTCAAAATATTTAAGAGTATTTTGAAATAACTGATAATATAATTGGAGTCTGTATTGATACTACATCAAGTATTACAGGTAAACTAAATGGAACTATAATAATTATTACTAGAATTCTTAACGAGTGTTTGTTTAAGTTTATGTGTCATCACCACATATATGAACTTCATATAACTCATGCAGTACAGGATTTTGATCATAAAAGTTAAATCTATGGGTCCAAGCAAGTCTATGTACTTAGCTTTCCAAAGACATTGGAAAACTTTTCATGAATCTGTAAATTCAAGAACTTCAGAATTGAAAAAATTTGATTGGAACAAGCTGGAAATAGATAGCAGGCTTTACATCTTGGCCCTAGCAGCTAAAGATTATGCAAAGTATTCGTTAGAGAATAAAATTTTTCCAAGGAATGACTACAATCACCTTGTAAAATAGTTGACTTTTTATCTTGGTGTCATATCTGATAAGCTTATTGAACTTAAAATTCATCAACCTGTGGCTTGTCACGAAGCAAGATTCATGACTGATGCTTTGTATATTCTTGATTTCTCAGCATCAAAATATACTATTGATAACAAGAGAGGAGAGAGAAAAAGTAACAAAGAAGGTAACTGAAAACGAACTTATAATATATAATGAGATGTATTTGTGAATAAAAGAATTATACTGTCAGTTAATGATAATAATGAGATATATTTATGAATAAAAGAATTATACTGTTAGTTATTTTATTTTGATCTTTTCTAGCTAAAAAAAGGAAGATTTAGGAATTTTAGAGTAAGCACTTAAATTGATCTAAGTGCAACTTTTAAGTATGTATTTATTTTCCTCCTTTATATAGACAAGGAATTTTGGGTGTACAAGGGAAGTTTAGAAAAAAGGTTTTTCTATACATTTTTGGGACACCCTATTGTACAGGTTAGTCTTATAATGCTGTTTCTTCCAACATATGCCATTTTTGAACATCTTTTCATAAACGTAATTTATTAAAATCACCTATTCAAACTCTTTCACATGCTTTTAAAGTTTTTCTTCTTCTACCTTTTTCTGTTGAAAAAACTCTCTAAAATAATTATATACTAATAATAAATAATAAAAACTATCTAAAAAACTCTCTAAAATAATTACTGATAATAATAATCATAACAATATAAATAATAAAACATTCAAATAAATAAATAAATAATTAAACATTCAAGTTTCGTCAATAAATTATTACTACATTTTAGAATATTTCCAAGTCTTTAATGATATTTGCATTTTGTTTAAGTTATATATTATAACATATTATTATAATATTTTCAAATATTATAACATATTATTATAATATTCTAAAATATAATTATTTTTACCTTAAATAATATGTATTAATTATATTATTTCAAGGTAAAAAAAAGAAGAATCATAAAAAGACTATGCAAATTTTGCAAAAAAAGTTATTGTAATTTAAAAAGACATATTAATGACAAACATAACAAACAAGGGAACTTAGATAAAGAAGATATGAAAATTATTCGCAGAGAAGGTATTATGGAAGCAAATAGAGAGGAAGCAAAGAAAGATTTGCCAAATTACCAAGTTGAAAGAAGATCAAAAACCCATGAAGAAATTCAAAAAGAAATTGATGGTTTTGTTACTTGTTCAAACTGTTTTGTTACTATAAGAAGAAAAAACTTTTCCAGCCACAAGTCAAAATGTAAAAAAACAACAATTAATATAGTTTCAAAAGTGGCAATACCAGAAAATATTAAAGCACAAACTTATTTTGAAGATGATCCACTTTATTTAAGCCATGTTATGGACAAATTTAGAAGTGATAAAATTGGAAATATATGCCTCAATGATGAAGCAATATTATATATTGGACAATGTTTTTTTTCTTCATTAAAAGCAAAACCAAATAAACTTGCAGAAGTCTCTTCCCAAGTCAGAAAAGATATGAGATGCCTTGCTCACCTCTATTTGATATTTAAAAATAATAATGGAACTATTATTATACATAATAATATAACAGATATGTTTGAAAGACAAAACTTTTTAATATTAAAAAAAACAATCAAAGAATACACAACCGATGAAGAAAATAAAATTAAACCAGGGTTAAAAAAAACCCTGTTTTACTTGATAAGAAAAAGTTCAGAGAACATAAAGTGTTTTTTCTATTACAAAGGAATGGACGAGAAAGCCAAAGATATTGAAATTTTTATAAGTTTATTTGTAGACTCTAAAAAAACAATTTTTGGAGATGCAGACTATAACCTTAAATACAATCGTGAATTTAACTCGCTAAATCCAAATAATTTGCCCGATGAAATCGATATTGATGATATCGGTAAATACTGCATAAAAAACATGAAACATCTATTGGAAAATAAAAATTTTGATTTTGAAGACCAACATTTATTTGTGGAATTAAGAAATTTAATATGTGCTAGATTGACAATATTTAATGGAAGGAGAGGAGGCGAAGTACCAGGAGTCTCCAACATGCTATCAACTGGAAAATTTCTAGATAATTTAGATAAAAGTAATTTTATTGGAAATTATTTTATTTACCTAGTTTCTAAAGTTTAGCCGCCTATATGTTTATTAGTTTAATGTTTATTAATTTAGGTATGAGCAACGTAAAAGATCAACTACCTTCTGTTAACAAGTGCCTAGCCCCAAACGAAAAAATCATTAAAATTTCAAAAAAAAAGGTAAACTTTGTGAATAGTCTGTGATAAAAAATATATTTGTTAAAAATAAAAAAAACTTTATTTACATTAAAATTTACATAAAAGTATACAAATTAACACAAAAAATCTTAAATTCAAATTTAAATATAACTTTATAATTATTACATTTATTCATGTCTGAATAAAAATTTGTTTTTGAGTACAATGCAAATGTTGATATAGAACAGAAAAATTTAACAGTTAAATAATAAAATAAACTACATACTATTTTTATTTCATGATGTTTCAATCTGTTTTGTGAAGATGCTTCATTACACAGCACAGTGATCTGAAAAATTGTATTTTAGTAAAATTAAAATTTTGATGTTTATATACTAAATCGATCATGCTGAATCCAAATCTGAAAACCAACTTTGATTTGGATGTTTTGTTGATCTTATATTAAAAAGTGGGTTCATTCAAGAATTCCTAAATAATTTAAATTTTTTTTGCTTGTGGTTTTGAGTTAATTCGAATTTATATTGATATGCAATTTGAATCAAATATATATCAAATGAAAAACTATTTTAACTGTTAACCACACATACTTCACCAAATGTTCTAAGGCATCTTAAGCTTTGACCAACATCAGCTTATTTGTTGCTCTAGTATATGGAAAATTATCAAGAAGCTTACTGTTATATTTTACTTATAAATGCTCCGAGATTTTATAATCTATGAGTTCAAACTTTTAGCTTAATGCTATGGGGCAGGAGTTATATAAAAACCAAAACATTTCTTTATGATAAAATATGAGATTTTAAACATGGAATATTTTAATGCTGTAAAATACTTAACACATTTGTTTTACCTGAGGTATACATACAGTGAAATTGTAAACATACAGTGAAATTGAGGTATACATACAGTGAAATTGTACAGGCAGTATATAGACATCATACAGATCATTAACTAAAAATTAAACTCCACTGAGAAAATTATATCTGTTATGCATTTCATTATTTATTTATTCTAATTTTAAAATATTTTAAAACTTTTGTTATTTAAAAATAATAATCAGATAAATAAAAAGAAAATAAAAAAATATAGGCAATAATCAATTAAACAAATCTATAAGACAATTATTCAAAAAATGATTTAATACTCAAAACAGTTGTATGTAAAAACAAGTATCATAAAAAAAATAAAATTTATTTTATAAATCTATCAAATGCAGTTAAAGCAATAAAACTTAAATAACAATTAACACTCAAAAGCTGTTATAACTACAATTATAATGATGAAAAAAAAATTATAAAAGCTTTCTTCTCCTTTCTAATTTTTGTTCTAATAAATGTTCTTTTTCATATGTAGATGAAATTGAGTACAATACAGAGGAATATGGAGAACAAGATGGTGATATATTTTATTCATATTCATTAATTAACTTTGTTAATATTCAAATTAATTAAAATACATTTTATTATATGAAATAAAAAACTAATATTAGTCTTTGAAAAAAATGTTTTAAACAATGTTTTCAAACCAACTATCATGTGAATCAAAATGGTCCAGTTGTTCCATAATTTATTTTTGAAAATGACATTATAGAAAACCATATAAGTCACACATGTGTAGAACATTACTCACGAGTCCCGAATACCGGTGGGGGAGGGGTTAATAAATGGGGGGTGGGAAATTTTATAAAAAATTTCAATTTATAAATTTAAATTAAAATGTTTTTTTACTAAAAAAGAATAAAACTATTTAATTCTAGCATGGCTTGCGGTCAAATGCGCATTTTTTGACAGCTGTTTTATCATAACTAAAGTAAAAATTAATAAATGGGGAAGGGAGGATTTTAATAAGTTTAAGGTGGGTGGGAAAAATATCTAAAAAAATTCATAAACGGAGGAGGGGGAAGCACTTATTAAGAACTTGAAAGTAATGATTAAATGAATCTTTTCATAATACAAAGCTAACAACAATATAGAATATAAAGATGATGAAATAGCATGGCTTGCTTTATTTAGGTTGAATGACACTGATCAATCAGAAGATGTACTAACTGATGTACTAAGGGATATACTAAAGTTTTATAAATAAAAAATTTAAATACTATCCTTTTCTTTAATTTTTTTTTGAATAATATTTTTAAATAAAATTAAGTACAAAACAGATAAAGAGCAGGATGGTAATAGCTTTTTATTCATAATCATTCATTAAATATATTGAAAACAAGCATAAATTATTTTATTGCATAAAAAATATATAATTTTTTTAAACAACAATATTTCTAAAAAAAATATTTTGACTTGAACAAAAACTTTTAAGAACTAACATCAAGCAGCTTCTGAATACATTTATTAGAAGGTGCTCACACATCATTGTAAAGCGAGAATCTACTAAATTAGCAATCATCCCAATATCATCAAATACATACTAAATTAAAAGACAAACAAAAATAAAATTAAAAACTTGCATCAAAACCATTATATTAATAAAGTATAAACTAGAGATCAATTTATACAGTAAAGAATCATAATGCACTCTATCAAAAGTCTTTAAGTAATCTCAATGAAGGCTACTTGCATATCAAAAGTTTTTTCCTTGAGTGTGCTGGCTCCGAAACCTTATTGCATGTTTCTTAAACAAGAGGTATGTGAGAAGGGATACCAAATTTTATATTTGTCTATTGAGGATAATTGTTACATATTTACAATTGATAAATATGAATTTTATGTTTGTCTGTCAAAGATAACTGTTACATCAAAAAGTTAAAAATAACCAGATTAAAAAGTTAAAAAAAAGCCTTTTTTTGGGGGGAAAATAAAATTTATTTGTATTTTATAAATCTATCAAATGCAATTGAAGCAATAAAATTTAAATAATAATAAACACTCAAAAGATGTTATAACTACAATTGTAATGATGAAAAAAATTATAAAAGCTTTCCTCTCCCTACTAATTTTTGTATTACATTTTCTTTTTTGTATGTATTTAGATGAAATCAAATTCATTACAGAGGAAGATGGAGAACAAGATGGTGATATATTTTATTCATATTCGTTAATTAACTTTATTAATATTCAAATTAATTAAAACACATTTTATTATATGAAATAAAAAATTCATATTCTTTGAAAAAATGTTTAAACAATGTTTTCTAGCAGCAAAAGTAACAAAAGCTATTGTGCAAGCCAATTATCAAGTGAATCAAAATGGTTCAGTTATTCCATAATTTATTTTTGAAAATGACATTATAGAAAACCATATAAGCCACACATGTGTAGAACATTAAAATGCAAAAAAACAAGACTACTCTCGAGTCACGAATACAAGGGGGGGCAGGGGTTGAATTCATGGGTAGGGGTGGGGTGGTGTAATTTTTAGTCCTAATAAACAGGGGTGGAGTGGGTAAATAAACAGGGAATTTTTAAATAAACAAGGGAATTTTTTATAAAAAATTTCAATTTATAAATTAAAATTTAAAAGTTTTTAATAAAAAAGAATAAAACTATTTAATTCTAGAGTGACTTGCGGTCAAATGCACATTTTCTAACAGCAGTTTTATCATAACTTCAATAGAATTTAGTATGCTTATACTTTCGTGAGAAAAAAACCAAGTTTAATTTATGGCATATCACGATTTGCTACAGTGACGATTTTTAAAGCCTGTTTACATTGATTGTTTTTGCTTTTATCGATGACTGAAAAAATTATTTTCTGATTTTTAATGCTGATTTTCACAAAATTTTTTTTTTAGTTTTGAGATATATAAATTTTTTGTTGATAACAAGTGAAAATTTATAAACAGGGGAGAGGGGAGTTGAGTTTATTAGGAACTTAAGAGTAATGATTAAATGAATCTTTGCAGAATACTTAGCTAACAACAACATAAAATATAGGGATGATAAAATAGCATGGTTTACTTTAAAATAGGTTGAATGACACTGTTCAATCAGAAGATGTACTAAGGGATATATTAAAGTTTTATACATAAAAAATTTAATTACTATCCTTTTCTTTAATTTTCTTTGTATATTATTTTTAGATGAAATTATGTACAAAACAGATAAAGAGCAGGATGGTAATAGCTTTTTATTCATAATCATTCATTAAATATATTAAAAACAAACACAAATTATTTTATTGCATAAAAAATATATAATTTTTTTATACAACAATATTACTAAAAAAAATTATTTTGACTTAGACAAAAACTTTTAATAACTAACATCAAGTAGCTTCTAAATAAATTTATTGCTCACACATCATTGTAAAGTGAAAACTTACTAAATTAGCAATCAAAATGCACTCTATCAAAAGTCTTTAAGTAATCTCAATGAAGGCTAATTGCATATCAGAAGTTTTTACCTTGAATGCGCTCCAAAACTTTATTGCATAATGTTTCTTAAACAAGGGATGTGTGAGAAGGGATACCAAATTTTATGTTTGTCTATCGAGGATAATTGTTACATATTTACAATTGATAAATAAGAACTTTATGTTTGTCTGTCAATGGTAACTGCCACATCAACAAGGTTAAAGTTAAAAATAACCAGATTAAAAAATTAAAAAAACTTTTTATTTACTTAATTACTTTGTGAATTTAATTTACATATAAATATACACCACATTTATTTTTTATATAAAAATAGATTAAAAAAATAATGTTCTTTTATTGCGCAAAAGTGCTTTCAAATCAAATAACATTTACATTATTATAATATCACAACTTTTTTTAAATTTTTATCGTTTTAGTAAAAATTTAATAAGTTATAATAACCTCATTTACTTAAATAATCTTTTTAGATGAAAATGAGTACAATAAAAGTAATTATGAAGAAACTCTATCAAAAGAAAAATTAGGTAAATACTATAATTCCTATTGAAATATTAAATTATTAACTAAAAATAAGACCTGAGTGCTTTCTTATGAGAGATAATTATTTTATAGATAAAAGCAGTTTTCAAGAGACTACAAAATGAAAAAATAGTAAATAAATAAAAAAACAACCTTTTTAATATTGATTTGATAATATGTATTACTTAGATTTAAATCCCCCACAGTTTTTGGAAGGTGAATAGGGTACTGTTCCTGGGCCTTTTCAAGTAAAAAAATATTATTGTATCACTTAAATAAATTGTGCTTGTAAAAATTCCTGTTGTTTTAGAACGCTTCTCAATCCAATTTTTACTTACTCTACATAAAATAATTTTTTTTTTAAAACTGTACCCAAGTTATTAGTGCTAAATATGTAGTTTTTTTACAATCCTGAATAAATAACATTGGCACTGGTTATTAAATAAGTATAAAACATATTTTAACTGTTTTGATTCAATTTGTGTAAATTTACTAATGTTATGAATACCTAAATTAACAAACATCATAATTAAATTTTATTTTTTTAATATAAATAAATTTACAACTTCAAATTGTTTTAAATTATAAAAATTTCAAACTTTATTATAATTTACAAATAAAAACATTTTAAGAAAATCTAAGTTTCTTCTTTTAAATAAAAAGTTTAAAATGTCACTCTATTCACTATTATTTAGTTATTAGTTGAGTAAGAACTTTTAAACTATATTTAAAAAAGAGAGGTTTTATAACATTCTTTATTAGAAGTTTGTAGGTATTAATTTTTAAAACATAAAATTTTAAATTTTTTGTTTTTATCAACAAATTTCTTGAAATACTAAAACCAAAAATTTTACTTTATTTTAATGTATTTCTTTATTTAATTTCTTTTAATTTATTTCTTTTCTATTCATAAACTACCTATTGAACAAAATATTTTATTAATGTAGCAGGGGTATTAAATTAGAGATAAGAAGTATTGTTTTATTATAGACAAGGAAAAAGAAATGTTTCATTGTAAAATTTAAAGTGAGATTTTTCATAAATTATTTATACTTGTTATTATTATTGTTATAATTGCAAATTTGTTATTATTACAAAGTCTATTTATTTCTGTTTTATATATTCTGTTTTTTTTATTAAAACATAGTTATTATTTTTACAATTTACATTTAGAATAAAAAACTATAACAAACAAGTAATGTGAAAAATACATTATACAAAATGTGAAACTTTAAACTATTATTATTTTGTCTATGTACACAACAAGTCATCCTTTTGACTCATCATTATAACTAAAACTAAATCTTGATAAGAATCTTGTAAAATGGTTACACAAAATATTGTAACCAATGCTTTTTCTACTGCTGATTTTTAGTCATTCAAGCTATATCAAAATCCTTCGCAGGCTTAGCATTTTTAAAGTTATCAAATATTATTTATTACCATTTTGGAAACCATATTAAAAATATTAATAAAGTATATAGATTTAACTCCTAATGACTCTAACCTCCAAGGGAACAAGATATTTGCTCGAGGTAGGTAATTGGTGAGTTATTAGGAACGTAATCCATAAATAAGGGCATATTCTATTTTTTTCTACTAACTGCATGTATTACCTATGATACTTAAAGTTAGTTAGCTTATTAAGCTTCTAATGGCTGATTCATGCAACTAATGTTTTAGTTTGAGTTTATCACTCAAGATGGCAGCACAATTGAGGCACCTCCATCAAACAAACATCTCCAAGAAACACAACTCTCTCCTATCTTAAAATAATAACTAACTATTATATTTTAATTTAAAATTTTACTATTTTATAATTTATATAACTATATTTTGATTTTAATATATTAGTTAACTATTTAAACTAAGTAATAAATTCTGATGATAAATGTTTTATTATAAACACATGAAAACTTATTAATGTAAAATATCTGGCTACCAATCAAATTACGTTGCAAAAAATAAAAAACATTATTTGGGAAATTTTTTTTTTGCCTTAAACAAAATATTTGAAAAAATTGTGACAGAAGTCCGTAAAAAAACATAATAATTATTATTTAAACTCAAAAAATTCAATGCTTTTAAATTTTAAAAAAATCAATATTATTACATATATGCAAGATAGAGAAAGAGAGATAGTCAAATCACGTACGTACTTGCTGTTTTTAGCAACCTCCTCCTTGTATGCATTCATAAGTTTTTGGGAAACCCCTCCCCCATACCTGCATCTATACTGTAAGGAAGACCACTTGTATAAAACAACAAAACTTTGATAACAATTTTATGTTAATATAAAACAACAGCAAGTTATTCAGTTACTAATTTTAAAAGTAACAGAATATGATGAATATTTGTATTTAACAGGTATAAGTAGAAATAAATAAGGCACTATCTATTTTGTTAAACATTTTTTGTTGAAAAATATAGAAAATAAACTTACCCTTATAGATATTGACTTTGGGATTGAATATAATTTTGAAAAAAAGAAATATCCTCTACGATCTACACAAGTAAAAAACAGTAAGTTATTAACTTTTAGTAAACACTTTTTTGTTTGAAAAAGTATAAGATGTTTCTAAAATAAAACTTTTAATTAGCAAAAGAAAACAAAACCTCTGCAGATGCTTCACTGCAACTACCATCACTTGTGACCGAATCACCTTCACCATACATACTTATCCCACCAGAAAAACTTGAGCCACTTAAACCTGGTTTGTATATAAAACCAATTTTGAAATTAAAATAATTAAAATAAAGTGACAAAAATTATGATTGTTTTTTATTCAGAATATTCCTCATGGACCAAAATGGAAACTGAAATGTTAAAAAAAGAATTTCATTTGTTTATTAACGAAGAAGTTTCTGAATGGCCAAGTATGCCTTTTTTTTAAATTTACAAACAATAACCTTTTACATAATTATATGTTTTCAGATAGTGCTTTATGCTTATATAAATATTTTTCTACTTATTAATTCATTTGTGTTTATGCAATTATAATTTTGTAAAATTATATAATTTAAGTTTTTTTTACTCTAAAACTTTTTAAATCAATAACTTATGAAAACTTTGGGACTTTTAAATATTTATAGTGATTTTCAAAAGAATAATAATTTTAAAGGGGTTTCATACCGCCAATAAAAAAATTGTGTTTGTAATATAGAGAATAATGAAAAAAAAGGTTTGTGCTAAACTTTTTAAATTAAAACAAAATAAAAAATGCACTCTAAAAAAAACTAATTTTGTTTTTTTATCGAAACTTCTTTTCTCTGTTTTGTTATAAGTCAAATAGTCTTCATAGTATATGCCACAATCATTAGACTTGACAACTTATTCAAGCAGGTTTAATTCAAAAGAGTTTTAGAATTAAAGTTAGAGAATATGACCTCTTTGATGTTTTTTTCTTCCTACATAAAAAAGAAAGTTTATTATCTTTGCATTGAGAAAAAAAACTTGACGAAAAATTAGCAAAATTAGCTTATCTTAAAAAACTGAAAATAAATTTTTTCTAAAAAGACATTAGAGAATAAAGAGTTTCATTTTTAATAAGCAAGCCTGGTTTTTATCACAGTTTTATTAAAAAGTTATAATAAATAAAGTTTTTATTATTAATTTCGCTATACATTTTATTATTTATATAATTTATAAATTATACTATTTAATAATTTTAAAAAAAATTTTGTTTTTTAAAATCCCTTTTAATAACCATTTTCATGTAGTATTGTAATGCTAACAGAAACAACTACTATGAATTAAGTTCAAAATATAATATTAATATTTGCGTTACTGATTTTTGCTTTGAAGCAACCGATTCCAGTTACAGTAACAATTGTAGTCAGTGACTTTAAAGCAAAACATTAGCGCATAAATTAATGTTTTACATAACTTAAAGTTTAAAGCAAAATGTCATTGTTTTTAATACTATAATTTTATAGTATTAATTTTATAGTAAATTTAATAATTTAAAGTAAAATGTCCTTGATTGGCGCCTCAATAGAAATTCTGCTGGTGAACCATGCTTGGAGATATACACAAACAACGAATCTATTAAATTGCTAGATGCCCTGGAGTTATTATGCGGTTAGCTTGAGAACATCTTCATTTCTATCAAACAGAAGTTCAAGTTTAAGAAAGTAGATGGCCTTTGTCATCCAGCCTGCTTGGTGCAGTGCCTTCCATATTGTGGCATTGGTCTGCATACCAAGCATTGCACCAGCAAAACAAAGAAGCTAAAAATAGTCAGTTCTTGGAGGATTTTCAAGATTGAATGTCTTTCAATAAAGATCTTTAGGTCATCATGATAATTATTCAAAAAAGATCTATTGAAATGTGATGAACAGCTTTGCCAAATTACTTTAGGGCAAAAATGGCAAATGTTATTAAACTAAAGTTCATTAAAATGATCATTATTAAACAAAAACATAAATTAAGTTCAAAAAGAACAAAAAATAACCTTAAAAAGCAAAGTTTTTTATACAAATAAACATTTTTTTTAAGCCATTTTTTATTAGATTATTTTTTTTAACATTTTGTATCAATTTATTTTTTCAAAATTATCAACAAAGCATATTATTTCATAAATATTAAAAACAACTTTTATCATAAAATTTTGTGTATATCAAAACAAAAAAATCATATTCTTAGAATCAAGTCATATACATAACAAATAGTTTTTTATTTATTATTATCAGTTGCTAAAGTAATTATTCTGGGGCTGTTCTAGACTGTTTACTACAGTCCCAGATGCCGTTCAAAATCAAAAATTATTTTGAATTTGGTTTTTAGTAAATATGGCATACTATTCTGCACTGCCACTGAAATTTCTCTTAGAATATCCCCTGATAATGTATAAAAATTATTTAAAGAAAGTATCCAATTAAAACCTGCAATTCAGGTAAGGGGTCGTCCATAAATTATGTCACACTATTAGGGGGAGGGGTTGGTTGGAGGTTTTGTGACGACTCATACAAAACTTGCTTCTTAAATGCTACTATTTTGTGATGAGGGGAGGTCAAAAATGTTCAAAAATTGCGTGAACCCCTAAAACAAATTATTAAAAAAATAACAATTTAATTGCAACAGTTTTACCAGTATGATGAAACAGATGAACATAAAAAATAAAATCTAAAATGTTTTAAACATAACTAAACTTTGTGTCCCAATTAACCAAATCAAGGTTTCTACTTTAAGTATAAGTATTTTATAAAATAATATAAGTATTTCATAAAACGTTTTTCATATAGTCAGACCATATAAACATTTTTCATATAGTCACTAGAATCACTAGAAGAACTTAGAATTTTTTTGTTTAAAATTAACAATTTATTTTTTAAACAAATACCATCTCTATAATGTGTTTATCTTATATTTTGCAGAAAAAGAGAAAATTATCAGTTTTATAAAGATAGCGCTTCCAAGATTCCACAATGGAATAGTGAGAACAAAAATGGTAAATGAAAGAAGCAAAGCTAGGAAAAAAAAGAGAGAAAAAGAAGAACAATTGAAAAAACGTTTAATTTCAATGAGCCTGTAAACTGGCATTAAAAAAATTTTTTTTATGGTTTTTGTTTACTTATTTTCAACTGTTTTTAAGTTTTAAACTTTTAACATTTTTAAATAGTTCAGTTTGAATTTTCTTGATTTTATATTGTATTACATTAAAATTTTAGATCTAGTAATTCTAAATTAAAATCTAATAAATCTTTCTGAAATAAAATTAACAGTGAGCATAGAGAGTTTTTATTTCTTAAGAGAATACATTTTTTACTAATTCCAAGTTTCTATAAAATGTGTAATGACATTGCATTTTGTTTAATAATAATTTTTTAAATTTATTAAAATATTATTGATTATTACTAATACTATAAGATTCCAAAATGATTCATATTTTTTTTATTTATGCTTTTTTGCATCTTGCGTCGCATATATATATGCATTTATAAAGCTATATATATTATTTAACATATGATTATAATATTTGAAAATACAATTATTTTTTGTTAAGGTGGTCCACCCCAATTCAAATGATTTTCTTTAATAATGAATTTATAATTTTCAAATTAGTCTAATTATGTTGTATTGTAATAAAAAATAGTATTAAAAAAAAAAAAAAAATCCTATAATTTGCCTCATTTATTCAACTTTTAACCTGTTTTAGTGTGTTATTTTAAAAAAAGATTTCTCAGGAAGTAAATAACCTTTTTTAATGCCTTTTGGTATTTCAGCTGATAATATATTTACTCAGGTACCCTAGCAGTTTTATCTGTTTAACTGGAATATTTAAAAAGTTACAGGCATTGCCATAATGGTTCCTTTTTTTAAGGCAAAGGCCTCACTGTTGATGACAAAAAAACAAACTTAAAAAAAAGCAAAAATAAATATTCTGCTACCAGTCCTCTTCCAATGTATTTTAAACAAACTGGGAAAATTTCAAAGAAAAAGAATAAACCAATCAGGAGATATTTTTTTTTAACTTTATTTAATTCGCTAAAAAGCTATTTTGGAGAAAATCACAAAACAAAAATAAAATTTTATTTAAAAAGCTCCAGATTCATAAAATAGAACAGGTTCTTCTTCTGCTTCTTTATCCAAAAACCCTTTCTTAATTCCTCTCAACTTTTGCCTTGACCAACACATTCTAGCTTCTCAATATTTATATTGCCATAAGGTTTTGAGGAAACAACATCAGAAAATGAAGAGGTATCACCATCCCCAATATATGAAGTGTACCTTAAATTATTTTTTATTAACAATCAAGAAAATAATATCACAGACCCACAGGATTCCATTGCTCCAGATGATTTTTCATGATTAGCATCACGTACATGATTTATCTTCCAATGAAGATATCCAGGCTTAAGGGTTTTAGACTTCCAGTAAAAACAACCTCTGCATTTTTTTGAAAGAACAATGGCATCTAAGCACTTTCTATTCTCTTTTGAAATTATGGTTACAATACCATTTAGTGATTGATTCCCACACTTTTGCAATGTACCATCAACAGATACCTGGCAATTTATAGGTTCATTATGATCAGCACAAAGAGCCATTCTGGTTTGACATGCAGCTTTAGTAGTACTTTGAATATGCTTTGTATAATTTGTTGTATATTTTTTGCTCATATGCTTTGTATAATTTGTTAGTCAAATAGTTAAAGTTTTTAGGGGTTATAGGAGGTGGCATATTCATGAATGCTGCAAAAGTACGCAAAGATCGATAACCTTTGCCAAGTTCTCTAAAAGCTACAATGGCATTAAAGTTTACAGAATGCTGCAACAGGTTTTCCAGGAGAGGTTAAGATTTGATTATAATATTGAAAAGATATATTATAATTTTAAATAAATTTACATGTATCACACAATAACTGTAACTCGTATGAGAACCCAGTTTTATTTTTTAAATTGTTCTTTAGTAACAGCTTTGCTCCATTTGAACAACACTCTTTGCATATACAATCATTAATTGTTTTTAAAACTTTAAAAATTATTATAATATTGTAGTCTCTATTATAATATTGTAATATTGTAGTCCCTCGTCAAGCTTGTTAAACTCAAAACTTTTTTTCACTTGCACTTCTTTTTTTGTTTTCAACAAAGTTTTGGTTAAAACTATTAAGGCTTTTATTCTTAATATGTTGGTTACCTCGAAATACTCTTCTTTTAACATATTTAGTAGATCTTGGCATTTTTGTGAAAGAACTTAAAACTTTTACTTCTATTTAAAATATATGTATGTACTGCTTTCATACAAATGTATGTCCTGCTCTTTTCACTTTATAATCACTTTACAGTGATTGCAACAGCATGATAGGCTTTTAAAATATAGCCAAAAGTTAACAAAAACCCATGTAGGACCTAACAGTTTAATTTTTTGTATATATTCAATGATTCCTAAGGTGCTATTTATAAAACTATCTTTAAAAAACGGTTGCTAAGGGCGCTGTTAGGTAACTAAAATCAATCTATCCTTTTAAAAAGATAAAATAGACCTACTAATATATAAATTTAACCAATAAAAGTCTGAAATTTAAAAAAAATCACTTTAAAAAAAAACTCAAAAAAATGTAAAAATTACGTTTTTAATTGGGGTGGACCACCTGACTTATACAGGGTTGCCTCTCAACCTGGAATACCTGGAAATAGCATGTATCCTTGGGAAAACATTGAAAACTCAGGGATTTTTTTAAAAAAATTTTATAGACTCAAGGAAAACTCAGGGAAAATATTTTTTTATAGCTTAGAACTATAATTTTTTTAAAAAAATAATTAACTTTATAATAAATTTGATGTAGATTTTGTTGTAAAACTTTTAGTTTTATCAAATATAAAAATTGTGTTTAAATAAGGAAAACAAAATTTGCTTTGATAAACCAAAAAGAATAAGTTAAAATCAGGAAAAACTCAGGGAATTTAAAAGGTTTAACTCAGGTAAAAACCTTCATTACTCAGGGAAACTCAAGGAAAAACTTTTATAGTGGCAACATTGTTATACTAATTATATAATATTTCAAGGGAAAAAAAAAAGAAGAATCATAAAAAACAAATTTGAAAAAAAAAGAAAAGAAAAAAGACATTTTAATGACAAACATAAAAACGAACATAGGAATTTCGATTTAGATATAGATGGCACTAAGTATAATGAAAGAAAAAAAATACCTTTTATGTTGAGAAGAGATCAAAAAACCACAAAGAAATTTAAAAAAAGATTGATAGATTTGTTACATGTTTGATTTTATTTGAGACAAGAAGAAGAAAAAACTTGTCTAGTCACATGTCAAAATATTAAAAAAAACAATTTTTATTGTTAAAAAAAATTGCCCAGAGCTAAAATTTTTGAAACACAAAACTTTTTTGAAGATAACAGATCATATTTGGAAGTGCCACTATTGGAAAAACAACGAAGCAATATATATTGGACAATATTTTTATTTCATCTTTGAAAGCGAAACCAAATAAACTTACAGAAGTCTCTTCTCAACTGAAAAAAGATCTGTCTTGCTTACCTCTATTTAATATTCAAAAAGTTTAAATTTCAACAACACCAATGACAGCAAAGCAAGCCAAAATCTATTTTTCAATCATATGGAACATTCAAAAGAACCGAACAAGAAAAGATCAAACACTACCAGGAACTTCTAACATGTTATCCACTAATTTAATTAATTTTTTTTTGAAATTATTTCATTTACTTAGTTTCTATAGTTAATTATCTAATGTAATTTATTTCAATTCAACTTACATTAGTTTAGGCATGATCAATTTAAAAGATCAAATAGCTTCTGTTAATAAATCCTTTTAAGTCGTCTGTTAATCGTCATCTTGTAGGTACGTGTGTAAAAATTTCAAATTGTTTAATTATTAGATTGTTATATATCGTTGGAAAAAATTTTAAAAAAATATTCCAAAACTGAAAGTTTTATCAAAATCGGATGATTCTACAAAAAGTTATGAGCATTATAGTGACGAAATTTGATTACAAGGATTCCTTAACAAAAATGTGACCAATTTATAATGGTTTTGTAACTTAAACCACTTAACATTGTCAAATCTTATCTAAATGCATATAACTTGGTATCAAAAAATAGGTGTAACATTGGGCTACAAGCTTCTTTTGCTTTTGACACCTGTGCGCATTTAGGGGGCTAGAGGGGGGACAGAGGAAACATCTTTGCCATTAAAAAATTCACATTTCTTCCAAAAAAGGTTGTTTTTTATATATAAAACTAGTAATTTATCAGTTTAAGTTGTTATTTTTTTATTCTAGTTTGCAAGCAAATATTATAAATGTATTTTATGAAGGAGGTGGATGTGGTGGTAATGGTACACACCCTAGTTTCGAAAGATTCATTCTAATAAATATTTTTATCATTATTAAAATGAATGAAAATAGTAAATAATGAAACTAATATATAAAATAATACATAATAAAAATTATATTTTATTAAATTATATATTAGTGACATAAATAAATTATAGGTTGTGAGGCGTCACCCCCCCCCCTCATCTATGACAAAAAAAAAGTTTAAAAACAAAAACTAGCAGTATAAAAAGTGGTAGAATACGCTCCTTCCAAATCTTAAAACTTTAAATTTAATGCTGCTTTTAAATGCTCTAAATGCTAAAAAAAAAAAGAAACGAAAAGAGAATGTATACATATGCATAATAAATAAGAAACTTACATAATGAGATTGTTTATGTGAACTAATAATAACGCTAAATATAAAAAACGACAATAACATAAAAAACTATGTTTTAATTTATAACTTATTTCTTGACTTTTAGTAAATGATTAAAAACAGTTCGGGTCACCTATAAGCAAGAAAACTAAGTTATATATATAATATAGAGAAGAAAAATATGTTAAATTAAGGCTTCTGATACTTTGTTAGATACTTTTTAGAGTAAATGGTTAATTTATCTTAACCGCCCTTGTAGCGTAGTTTGTTAAGCTGTATAACAATGTTTGCTGCAATACAATCCCTGCCAAACAGTTTCCCTTTTAATGTTTCCAATGCTTTAAGTGAAGACTTATGCAAGCAGAGGTCATTGTATCCAATGGGTGAGGATGGTAGTTTAGTAACTGTTTAACGGTTTCTGCCACTAAGTATTTAACTTAGTA